AATGCACCAATCACAGCCGACCTTTGTGATATAAATGATACCGTGCAATCAGTCGACCTTACCGCCTGAAGAAGACTAGCAGTAAGCAGTCGAAACTTCGCGATCTACATCTCAAGTGACTACATCGTGAGACAAACGATAATACACTTTATTAGTTTAGATTTACCAAAATAAATGCGACAGATTAGGACAGTTTAGTACACCTTTCAAACATGTACCTTGAGTACACGATTGGAGACTTCGAAGACAAGAGTGGCATCTTTTCTATCAAGACCTGAAGCCTAAACACGATATACTGTCTCTTATTTTCAGCCTGGATCTGAAATTTGGATTCTCACAATTAGTATAGGTAATCATACGGTTTCGAGTTCAATTTGGAATTAATCTGTACGAGTGAGTTTTTCAAAATGCTGAAACTGCACGAGCCGCTTCGGCGAGTGCAATTTCAGCTTTTTGAAAAACTCACAAGTGCAAATTAATTCCAAATTGGACGAGAAAAACCGTATGATTACTTATTAATAATATAAACATGAAAAAATTCGCGTGGAGGAAGTGCCTGAAGATCTTTCTTGAAGCCATTTTTTCTCATCCCAGAAAACTTTTTTCATAGGTCCTGACAAAATTTTCGTCATCATTTTACGTGATATCGTTGGCTTAGAAAATTTCCTATTGCCTTTCAGCCAATCATAATGCAGAATTACCATGTGTAATTTGCACTGGTGTCACACTTTTTGCATGGTAGCTACTGGTGTTACTCTTGAACTGCACTGCTCTCAGCCAATCAGAATCGAGTACTTTTTTTCATGTATGTTATTATTATTATTATTATCTTAAGGTATATTAACAAGGTTTGAATTTATCCTCAGCAACTTTACTACATTGAAAGCCGTAAGCACATCAGCCATCCGCACAATCGCGAAGTTCGAGTCCTCGATTGCTTACGGAAGGTATCATTTTATGATACTACTAGTAAGTTAGAGTTGTTGAAGTAAACGAACGGAATCTATGGAAATTGTGATCTTCAGCAGGGTTTGTTTTACCGCCGCACGGGTATCAGTGTAACAAAGCAGGAATTTCGCTTCTTTTATGTATATCTACCAATATATCACGGCCGATGGATTGCTGAGTTCTTTTAACATATACTTATGTCTGGTCTATGATCTTTATGTAATAGTATCCAAATTCAAAGTAATTGGTAAAAATGTCACTTGTTTAGACTCCGAGATTAGACTCCGTTCTAAGGTTTAAACAGAAGAATTTGAACTAATTTGCATATATCACCGCCAATACTGTCAAGCTTTCTCTCATTTCCTGAAAACAAGGAAACTTAGCAGCTTAGTTTAGCCTTAGTTCGTTCCCTCCATAAAGAGGAACATTCCTTGAATTGTTGCTGTTGTGATAACTTGTAGGATGTAGCAGATACAACTGGACGACAGGACAAGGGTGATATCTGTACTACAATTAAATGTGAATCTCCCAAATTGAGCGTCCGGTTTCCTGTCAACTTGAAGTATCCAGAGCTAAGTCGACCACTGAGGGGTTATCGAATAGGGCTTCCTTGAATTTTTAATCAAAATGTTATGGTGAAGTTGCATGCCACTAAGTTATGTAAACTTTAGCAGAATATTCAAAGCCAAACGTTCCCGTTCAACAGAAGGCTTGTGACAATCGATTCAAGATTTGAATTGTTGTTGCCGCGATTTGTGCAGCAGCACTCCGGATAATATTTTCAAAAGCCGCTTTTTCTAGCATTTACGTCCTATTCATTTAATCAGTGTAGATAATGTTTAATTGAGTGCAGCTGCTGGCCATTTGACTTAAGAGCCCCGATCATTTTGTGATTTAAGAGTGATTTTCTGAGGGTGATGGGCAAAGACTGACCCCCAGTCCATGGACTACCCAAATGGACTACCCTAAAATGGACTAACCCTAAAAATAATATAATAACGCCAGCATAATATAATAATAATAATAACACCAGCAACCAGTATTTTTCTCAAATGCGTTGTAAACATTCAGATTCAGGCTGTTTACTTTTGCGTATTTCCAGTATTACGTAAATATCGGCTACATAAAAACAC